CGGCAGACCTCTCCTGTCTTGCCCACTGCTCCCCTCAGAAGTGTATTTCAGTCAGTCTGCCTGTTCCGCTCCCCGCTCTATCTCTGGTGAATCCTCTCACCCGCCCGGCAATCTGGCCTGTACCCCAGTTCTTGTATAAAAATAAACAAATCTAAATAAATAAATAAATGAAATGAAAAGCCCCCAGCAGGTCTTCACTCTGGGCTTCTCGACTTCCTTCTCCCTTTCTGTCCCGGCCTCTGCTTCTCTCCGGGGACATATCAACACCCCCACCAGGACACAGGAGGGAACACCACGACTGATAACAGTGTAGCAAATGCAGGCCTGACAGGCAGTGAATCCTAAGGGCAGGAGCACAGACCCGCCTGGAAACCATTTCCCCTCCACTAGGCCAGCTGGAAAACCTGGCTCTCCAGCAAATTACCCCCCTCGCCGCCCCCCACCTCATGCTGGCATGCACAGCGAGGTCAAAGATCACAGGAGCAGTGAACTTTGGCACAGCCTCCATGTGGATTCCTCCCGAAGTCGCTGTGGGGGGGGGACTGGGCACAATATCCAGTTACTGCTTTCTCATTCTCCTGTTGAACAACTGGTTGGTCCATCCGGATATGGGTGTCCATTCCTCCAAGGTTGCACCCCAAGGGGGGTTCGAGCAAGGGGAGGCTTCAGGGGCTCAGAGGCCAGAGCAGGAGGACTGGTCGGAGTCAGAGTCTGAGAGCAGAGCAGATCCTGGGGAGGCATCTGGGCCCCAGCAGCTCCCTGCCTCTGCGGGGCAGCCAGAGCAGGTCCTGGTGTCCAGTGAGGGACAGGAGCCCGATATTAGCCGGGCTTCGGGGCCTTCCTCAGACCCACCCTGCCAGCCGACTGAGAGAGGGGATTTACCAGTCCTGGAAGCCCAGGGGCAGCAGCCACCCCCTGGGAGGCCCAGCTGCCACATCAACTGCCTGGAGCAGCCCCTCACCCGGGGATTCCAGAGGATGGGGCTGGCTGTGGGCTCGCACCCCTGGCTCTTCCTGCAGGCTCCCCTGGCGTTGACGGCTGTCCTGGGCACCGGGTGTATTAACCTGCCCAGCGAGACAGAAGAGATCCTGGAGGAGCAGGACACCCCTTCGGGCAGCCTGGCCAAAGCCGAGCAGCGCTTCGTGCAGGCACATTTCTCCAACAACGAGTTGCACCTCTTCTCCCCGTTGCGGTCCAGCACGGAGGTCAACTTTGCCTCCATCCTGGTGGTCTCCAACACTACCAATCTGCTGGATCAAGTCATCTTCTCAGAAATTAGTCAACTGGGCCGCCCCGGTGGCACAGTGGATGAGTGCTGGATTGCGAAGCTGCCCGCAGTCTCTGCGGCGCTGTTTCGATCTCTGGCTGCTCCCCGGCTACCGGAGGAGGGTCCCACATGGCGCGCAGACCTCTCCTGCCGCCCGCTGCTCCCCTCAGCAGTGTACTTCGGTCCTTCTGCCTGCTCTGCTCCCCGCTCTGGCTCTGTTGAATTCTCTCACCCTCCTGCGCTTCTGGCTGTACCCAGTGCATGTGTAAACAAAACAAACAAACAAATAAATAAATAAAAACATGCCTCTATAAAATAAATAAATAAAATTAAAAAAAAAAAAAGAAATTAGTCAACTGGACAAGGCGGTGCAGATGCGGACCGCGCCCCTGGGAGATGGAACCCAGGCCCTCTACCCTCAGGTGTGTGCCAGGTACCAGAGCACCTGCATGCCCTCCAACCCACTCCTGTTCATCTGGCAGAAGAATAACAACATGGACCTGAAAAGCATCACCTTCCCTATTTACAACACCTCTGCTGCGGCCCTCTACTTGGCCGGCGTCTTGGGAGGAACCATCCTAGGTCCCGGCTCGGGGACAAGCCGGTTACTCCTGCAAGCCAAGGCCGTGTGGCTGCAGTACTAACTGAAGTCCGCGGACCCCCTAGGACAGCGAGCGCAGCCAAAAGTGGCTGCTTGAGTTCCTGGACCAAATTCATGCCATTGAAAAGCGCCTGGCCTTGAAGAACATCCAGGTGCCTGGGGCTGGGATTAGAGGGAGGAGAAGGTGGAAGGGATAAGACCTGTCCAGGGATGTGTCCACGCCTGGCTACTTGGTGGAGGCCTTGACTTGAAACCGGCTCTGCTCCACTCTTTGATGCTTAAGCCAGCTTTCTTCAAGGGAAACCAATGGAAGCCGACAGCCTAGATACTGGGTCGCATTCTAGTGAAATACACTCATTCTATACCCCAGGGGTGGGAGTGTTCAGGGCAGACATTGATCTTCAGGGTTCCTTTTGGTTTTCTAGTCAGAATGCTCTCACTTCACCTCTGTGCTGTTTCTGGAGCCCCCGAAAACTTGCTTGGTGGCACTTCAAGAAAAAACAAACCTTTAAGCTGATGTTCCCTAGTGTTTTTGATAAACACAACTAGCTCAGACTTCTCAAGTATTTTCTAGCATTCTGCCAGGCACCTCAGAGGATCAGCAAACCTGCTAATACTTTTGTCCAGGCCTGGTGAGAGACACCTGCTGGGAAAAGGCTTTGAATACCAGGCCTTGCTGAAATTATACTTTGTACTTAAATAGCAAAAGATAAAAACCAACTCGTCATTTACAAATAGCCAAAATTTTGACAGTTATTAATGATTACACAGTGTTAGAGAAAATTGAGAATTTGTATACTCAGGAATGTTAAACATTGGCTTATTTTTAAAAATAAAAAAGATATATTTATTTATTTATACAAGCACTGGGCAGAGTCAGATGCCGGGAGGGTCAGGGAATTGACCAGAGCCAGATCAGGGAACAGAACAGGCAGACTGACAAAATATACTGCTGAGGGGAGCAGCGGGTGTGGCATGAGAGGTCTGTTGCGTCAGGTGGGACCCTCACTGGTGGCCTGGGATATAACCAGAGCTGCAGAGGCTGCCAACAGCTTCACAGCCCACCATTCAACCGTTGCACCACCAAAGGGAGGCCCAAACATTGGATTTTTGAAAGAAATCTTAGAAAGCATAGCATGGATTGGTGGGAAAAATTTTTTATTACCTTTATTCTAAAATCATAATTCACACTATTTTAATCTTTTACCAAACTGTAACATGTTTCAATCAATAAGCTATAATATTTTGATACATCTTGTCACTCATACACAAATATTGTAATTAAAAGTTATTTACCTGTGTGTATTTTTACGACAGGTGGTCTACTTTACATCACTTTCTAGGAAACTGGAATTTGAGGCAAGTGCTAGGACAGTGGTCCCTTTGTTTTACACGGCATACCTTCTGATCATATTATCTGCAATTGTATCATGCCACAGGTAAAAAAATTGTATTAGTTTTTAAACTTAAAAATATTTGTTGTAAGATATTTAACGTAACACGTGCCATTCTAACCACTTTAAGTGTACAGTTCTGTGGCATTGACCACATCCCCACGGCTGTGTACTGTCGTGACTGTTTCCAGTATCTTTCATAACCTGAAGGAGGAACTCTGTGACCAGTGAGCAGTGGCTGCTGCTGCTCTTCTCTCCTCCAGTCCTGATAAACCTTGACTCTATTCTTTCTATGAATTTGCCTTTCTTAGATTTTTATGTCAATGGAATCATACATTTTTTGTGACTGACTTATTTCACTTATCATAATGCTTCCAGGGTTTTTCCTTGTGCACATGTGACAGCTTCATTCCACTCGATGGCTCTGTGCTCCATTGTATGTGTGCTCCACAATTTGGTTACCCATGGTCTTTAATCGTAACACTGCAAGGAACATGGTGTGCTCATGTTAAGAGAATCATTTACAAGTGGAATTGGTGGGTTGCATGAGAATTCCATAGTCAGCTATTTGAAGAACCACCACATTGTTTTCCAGAGTCTACACCATTTTCGATCCCACCAGCAGTAGATAGGGGCTCCAGTTTTCCCACAGTCTCCCTATAAAACAACACTCATTCTTTTACCTTTTATCGATTTTACATGTCTTACTTGGTGTCAAGTGGTATCTCGTTGTGGTGATGATTCACATTTCTGTAAATATCTGATCACGTTGATTGTCTTTTCAACGGTTTATTGGCCTCTTGTATATCCTCTTTGGAGAAATGTCTATCCAAGTCCTTTGCCCTTCTTATAATTGGGTTGTTTGACCTTTTGTTGTTCACTCATGTTTTTCTTTAGCACTTTGCATATTTCAGTTATTAAGCCCCTTACCAGCTATATGACTAGCTGATTTTTTCTCCCTCTATATAGACTGTCTCTTCGCTTTCTTGACAATGGCCTGTAATGATTAATATTTTTTTGAGAAAATCCAACATATCTAATTTTTTCGGTACTTGTATTTTTGGTATTATATCTAAGTGTCCATTGACAAGTCCAAGGTCATGCACATTGACCCTGTGTTTCTCTCTACAAGTTTTAAGGTTTTAACTCTTTTATTTAGATTGTTGATCAATGTCTATTTCAGTTCTGTTTATGGTATTTAGTAAGGTCTCAGCATCATCCTTGTGTACATGAAGATCCAAGTTTTCCAAAAAACATTTATTGAAGAGAACATTCCATTTTGTTAGACTTACTACACTTGTCAATCAACTGGCTATATTTATGGATTATTTCTGGACTCCCAATTCTACTCTGTCAGTCTATATGTTTATTTGCGTGCTAGTACCACATTGTTTTCATTACAGTACCTCTTTGTAAGTTTTGAAATCTGGAAATCTCAGTCCTGCAACTTTTTCTTCTTTTTCGAGATTGCTTTGGATATCCTGGGCTCCTTGCAATTTCAAGTGAATTTGAGGGTTGGCTCTTCCATTTCTGAAAAAGAAAAAAGGAAATTTCAATTTCAATAGAAATTGTGTTGAATCAGTAGATTGCTAGGTGATTGACATTTTAACAGTATTAATCCTTCACATCAACTAAGGATGCCTTTCTATTAAATTAGGTTTTCTTTAGTTTCTTTCACCAGTGTTTTATAATTTTCAGTGTACACATCTTTTACCTCTTGGTCAAATATACTCCTAAGTATTTTCTTCTTATAGATGCTATTTAAATAGAATTGCTTTCTTAATTTCCTTTTGCAATTCCTTTTGCACATAAATAGAAACAGCTGATTTTTATAAGTTGTTCTGGTATCTTGCAGCTTTGTTGAATTTTTTGTAACTAGTAGTTTTCTTGTGGATGTGTTGGAATTTCCATATCTGTGAAACAGGATATTTACTGTTCTTCCTTTCCAGCTTTGATTCTTTTTATTCTATTCCTTGTCTAATTGCTCTGGCGAGCAATTCCAGCACAATGCTAAATCTGGTCAGCATCTCTAAGTTTAACTTTTTTGTGTTGTGTGCATGTTTGTTGGTTGGCTTTTTAGCTTTTCAGCTCCAGAATTTGTTAGGTTCCTCTTAAGTTTTTCCATGTATATTATTATTTCATTCATATATCGTGTTCCCTGTCAATGTTCTCCTTTAGCATTCTGAGCATATTTATGACAGTGTTTCTCATAGTATTTGTCTAGTATGCCTTCCTCCTTTCCATACTGAAAGACTACTTCCTGGGTTGGAGCAGGCACAAAGAGGAAAAGGAGCAGCAAATTTCTCGGCATAGGTGCTGAGTATAGTCCTAATACTTGCCTTCCTTGGATGTGAATATATGTAACTGATTTTCCTGCTAGTGCTTTTGTAGATTCTTTTGACATCTCACCCTCCCTCTCTCTGTTATCAATATGACTATCTTGTGTTTGTTTAGCTCAGGGATTCAACACTTTTGAGCATTCCATATTTTTTGGCTTGGAATGAAATCATCTGGACAATAGTAAGACCTTCCCAAGAGAGTATGGCCTAATTGAACACCATTCTATGGCAAGTAGTGGTCTATTTTGTTTGTAAACTATTTCACATTTGGCATTTTAAAAATGACAAAACTTATTATGCCAACTATTAGATCAATTTCTGATAAAATCTGGAAAATCTTTCTCTTCTCAAACATACTTTAATTGTTCTTGTGTTTAATAGACATCATATCTTTTAGAAAGATGTGGCCTCCTCCCTAAACATACAGTTTTTGAAGTGTAATCATTTCCAATTCAGTCCGATGTTGTCAAGTTATTAGAATGTTCAGAAAATTGGCCATTTTGCTGCCAGGGATGCCTCAATTTGACTGAGGAATCGTGTGAGGGGAATTTTTGACACAATGATTCTGCAGCTTCATTGTAAACCTACTTGCCCCGACTGCTGGGAATCGTAGGCACAAAAAGAGAAGGGCTGAGGATTGAAATGAGGGGCTTGAGACAACTTGACACTAGTGGTTGCTTCTTTATTTTTTCTTTACCTTCTCTTACTTTTCCCTGTCTTTCTTTTCCCTGTCTTTCTACCTTCCCTGACCTTCTCTCTGCTCCTCGCTCAGTAACCCCCCAACCTTCTCGTGGTTCTCCTCTTATATCCTGGTAGCTCCTCCCATCATACCTCCCAGTCTCATTTGATTAACAGGAAAAACCTGTGGTTTCTCAGAAGGCAAAATGGTAAAGCAAAACTTAATTGATGGCACGTGTTGTGCAACAGTGCATCCGGACATCTCCCCCTTTTTTCTTTTAAATGAGACACCTGGCCTGTCTTAGGATGGCATGTTCCGTGACCAGCCTTACCCGTCATTGCTAATCTGGCGATGTTGGTCCAGACCGCTGTCTTAGGTTGGCCTGGACGGGCTACGCTCTTACCCGACTTTGGCTCTCGTGTTCTCTAGGGCTAAGTTGACCCATCCAGATGCCACTGGGGAGTCCTGGTCAAGTACTATGACGCCAAGTACTTGCCTGACCGCAATACCAGTTCTTTGTTTCGCTTCCGTAGCCGACGGAGAAACCATATGCCGAATGCACAAACAGCAACTCTGGGAGGAGTCCTCTAAAACAGGCAATGAGACCCTCACTCGTAACAGGGGTAACCTGAGTGTTGTTAATGGTTATGAGCCGTCTCGCCAATTGAGCAGTCAGGTTCAGGAACTGGTGGTTCCATGGTCCTCTGATTACACTATTTAACCTATTTACTTCCATAGACATATTTTTCACCATAACAGGAATTACACAAATAAAACAAAATGGTACAGAAGGTTATAAGGCATGTGAGCAGTTAACAAAAGTCTGTCTCATATTAGAGCTATCTGCTGATTAAGCATCAAAAGTCCATTTCGTAAATGTTCATTCATATCTTGCTATGTTGATAACACAAAAGCAACATTGGCAGCTAAATTGTTTATAGTGTCAGCATTTGCAGCAGCTTGAGTGACAGAGATGGCGGCAGCAGCCGCAGCCATGGACACCGCTATTGAAACAGCGACAACAGCTGCAGTGATGCCAAAATCACGTCTCCTCCTAGGTAGAACAGGAAAAGGAAAGATGTGCAGAAACATCCACGGGCATGATTAAAGTAGAAAGCAGACAAATGATCACCACCCTTTCCGCACTCTGGGTCCAGCAGGCAGAGAGGGCACAGGGCTCCCCTGGACAGTTCAACACAGTTGCATTTCCTGCATTATTGGAGAGGACAAAAAAGAAGGAGGACACAGACAAACAACAGTAGACAAACTCTCTGATCTATTATTCTGGATACTAACGGATTGTTCAATGGTAGAACTAATGTTTGCAGATTAAATGCCTTTAAATAATTTCACCTCACCCTGGCCCAACAGGGCACTATCCAATGGCTTGGAAGCCAGACCAGTAGTAAGATTAGTGGCAAATACTTGCGGAAAAGTGGAATCATGATGATTAATGAGGAGCAAAAAAGGCATCTGATGCACAATCGCCCATCGTACTGACAACTGGGATGCTCGTGTCATCAAGGTTAGCAGGTTCAGGTATATTGACAAACCGAACCAATAGAGCAGGAACCGATTGGGGTGCTTCCACATCTCGTGGGAAAAGACAAATGCTGCCAGGCAGCTGTATTAGTACTGCTGCGGGTGGTTGCCACTCATTATTGACCGGGTCCTTCCATCTGGCTTGCAGCACCGTGACCTGCCGAGGGTCTGGCGACCAGTGCCGATCAGCAGCTGACCGCCCCTGGGTATCTAGGGTCAAAAAATTAAGGGTAAAGAGAGATGTAGTCAAACCATCCCTGGGGGAGTGTTCTCCACCTGTTTGTTTTAAAAGCATAGTTTTCAGAGAACCATGGGCACGTTCAACTATACCCTGCCCCTGCGGGTTGTATGGAATTCCCGTTTTGTGCACAATGCGATGGACCACACAAAAGGAGGCAAAAGCCTTACTGGTATAACCAGGACCATTATCTGTCTTAATGACACATGGGTGGCCCATTACCGCAAACATTTGTAGCAAATGTGAGCGGACATCAGAAGTCTTTTCACTGCAATGTGGGGAGGCGAAAAGAAAACCAGAGAATGTGTCAATGGAGACATGGACCAGGCTCTGTCCTCCAAAAGAGGGAACATGAGTCACATCGGTTTGCCAAATATGGTTAGGGAGGATGCCCCGGGGGTTAACTGCTGGGGGCGGCATAGCAGCTAGAGCAAAAGGTGCACACTTGTGAGAGGCACAAACAATGTCACGAGCTTGATGACGAGTCAACCCGTAATGACCCTTAAGTGGCATTGGTGTGCAAGACTGCATGCTCTTCCATAGCACTCTGAAGTGCTGGACAAATTAGATGTCCCCTAGTAAGAGAATCAGCCACGTCATTGCCAGCCGCTAAAGGTCCTGGCAATGGGAGATGACCTCAGATATGACCCACAAAAGGTGATGAATTCTCTTACAAATCAGTGTTTGCAACTGATGAAGGAGGGGTGCAATGGAGCTATGAACAGAAATATGAGCAACAGTTTCCAAAACATTTAAAGCATGTACCAGATATTTGCTGTCAGAATACAAATTGATAGGTTCTCGTGAGTAGGTCTCGAGAGCCGAGAGGACGGCGGTCGCCTCAATGACTTGGGCTGTACCACTGGGCACCGAGACCACCTTCCGATCACCTTCAGAGACAAAAGAGGCTGTACCATTACTGGAGCCATCTGTAAACACTGTCCAAACCTCCGCAGTAGGTTCAGTAACGAGGATCCTGGGGAAACAGACTGGATGATTTTGTAAAAATTTGCATAAAGGGTTGCTAGGATAATGCAAATCAAAAAGCACTGAAGTGGTAAAATAAAGGATACTCCATGTTTCATCGTGGCATATTAACCACTGAATTTGTTCTTTGTTATAGGGGAGAATCACCACTCGTGGGTGAGTACCTGAAAGATGTAGACTGGAGTCCAGAGCCATTTGTACAATTCTGGCAACCGAATGTAAATAAGGCTCTAAGACTCGTTTTGGACAGATGTTAAGATGGATCCAATAAACGGGACCATCTTGCCATATAAGCGCCGTGGGACTAAGATTACTACAAAATACCAAGACATCAAAAGGACAGAAAATCTATTTAAGGTCACCTGGGCTAGAGCCTTTTCGACTCTAGTAATCGCTTCACGAGCCTCCTGCGTAATGGCTCTAGGGGAAGCGGGGTCTGCATCCCCTTTCAACATGTCAAAAAGGGGCTTCAGCTCTCCCGATGTAATAGAGAGCGAAGAGCGTATCCGTGCTAGATCGCCACATAGGCATTGGAAATCATGCAAGGTGCAAAGGTGAGCTACTGCCAATTTTGGTACTGCTGGAGCATAACTGCCTTTACTCAAATGGTATCCTAAATACTGAAAAGGCTCAGCCATTTGTAACTTCTCAGGAGCAATCTTTAGACCTGACATCAGTAAATGATTCTCCAGGTCCTGGAAACAGCCATACAGCAGGTCGATCATAGGAGCTGCCAGTAACAAATCATCCATATAATGATATACATGCACCTGTGAATGTTTGACTCTAACAGGAGCAATGGCTCTGGAGACATAAATTTGGCAGATAGTGGAACTGTTTGCCATTCCCTGAGGAAGGCACACCCATTGATATCTATCATGTGGGGCAGCAACATTAATGGCCAGGATAGAAAATGCACAGTGTTTGGAATCTTGATCATGTAATGGAATTGTGAAAAAACAATCCTTAAGATCAAGGATCAAGATATAATGATCTAGTGGAATGGCAACTAGAGAGGGAATGCCAGGTTGCACTGGTCCCATAATCTCCATAGTCGCATTCACTGCCCTAAGGTCCTGTAATAGTCTCCATTTTCCGGACTTCTTTTTGATAACAGAGATGGGTACGTATTCCAGGGGGAGGTAGACGGGACTATGTGTCCGGCCTGTTCTTCAACTAACATTCTTCTGGCCCCTAACTTCTCTTTTGGCAGGGGCCACTTTGGTACCCACACAGGTGTGTCAGATTTCCAGGTGATAGGAATGGGCGTGGGTGGAGGCCTAATCACAGCGGCCCCTAGAAAAAAAGGGTAACCGAGCCCTCGTTTATCCCCCGCTTCCCTCATCACTTCCTGTAGATTAAAAAAGGGAGACCCTTGCTGTTGTTTACCCAAACCTTGTCCAGGCACGTCGCCCTGATTAATCATCATTTGGCCAGCTGGACTATCCATGACTAATGAAGCCCCCATCTCTACCAGAACATCTCGTCCCCAGAGGTTCATGGGGATTCCAGGGAGGACATAAGGTTGAAATTGCCCAGTATGGCCTTCATTGTCCCTCCAGCAGAGCACAGTAGTACTCCTAGAAGGATTTTGGGATATTGCCAGACCCTGCAAGGAGGTATAAGCAGTAGCCACGGGCCACTGTGAAGGCCAGTGCTCCTTGGATATAATGGAAGTGTCTGCCCCAGTATCCAAAAGGCCCTTAAATGTTCTGCCATTAATTATCAATTCAATTAGAGGCCTCTTATCTAATGTCAAAGCCAAATTCTCAAGAGGGTTGCCTGAAGAAACAAAACCTTCAGCACCGCAAATTACATGGTGGATTTTCCATCACTGGCTAATCTTGGTAATGGTATAATTTGAGCTATTCTGTCACCAGGGGATATAGAGATAACTCCACGAGAAACAGACACAGGAATCTTAATTTCTCCAGTGTAATCAGTATCAACGAGACCTGGGATGGCCTCTTTGAGGGCACTGGAGCTGCGGCCGTTATTAGTCCCACAATTCCATCGGGGAGAGGACCATACTGGCCCGTAGGTAAGCATTGCACTCCCATGCTAGCAGTCAGAACAGTGTATGCAGAGACACTCAAATCGAATCCGCCATTTCCTGGGGAGGTGCAGAAGAGGTTAGAGAAAAATTTTGCCTCATTTGGGGATTGCTCTGAACGGCCCCTATAATTGGCTGAGAGGGTTGCCGGGGCTGTGCCCTCCCCCACGAGTTTCCCGGCTGCCCTCCCATACAGGGGGTCAGTGGATTTCCCTGATAATCTGTCTTAGACAGACACTCATTCGCCCAGTGGCTACCCTTTCAGCACCGTGGACAAACGCCTGGTTTTTTTTTGAGGGTTAGCAATTTCTGGTGCCTTAGCGCCCCCGCTCCGCCCCAAAAATGGGCAGGAGGCCTTTATATGCCCTTGCTGACCACAAGCAAAACAGGCACGGTTTCGTGGTCCAGTTACTGGACCACCCAAAGCCTAAGCGATCACCACACCGGTAACTTGAGCTTCACAAATATCCTTACAAAGTCTCACATAATCATCCAAACTAGCCCAAGATTTCCAGGTTCTTATAGCTTCCTGACACTACTTATTAGCATTTTCAAATGCAAACTGTTTAACTATTGGTAGGGAGGCATCAGTGTTACCTAGAATTCTGCCAGCTGCAGTCATCAATCTTGCTAGGAACTCCGCATATGGTTCTGTTGACCCTTGAATGGCCTTTGTTAATTGAATGTCGGCTCCTCCTTTATCTCCTATTGCCTTCCAGGCTGACCGTCCAGCTGCTGCAACTTGGGCAAATACAGCCGGATCATAATCCTTTTGTCGGTCATTACTATAATATTGCCTTTCTCCTGCTAACATACCCTTGTTTCTAACTGGAAATCCAGCATCAGCATTGAGTTTAGCTGTATGGGTGCAGTTCTCTAAAAATATACCTTTCCATACCAAATAATCCCCTGGGGAAGTCACTGCTCTGACTAGCGCTTTCCAATCATTAGGAGTCGGATTCATGCCGAACCAGCTATCCAATAAGGTATGCGTAAAAGCACTCTGGAGACCATACTGAGTAACTGCCTCTTTTAACACCTTCAAATCTTTAAAAGCTGTGGAGACATGTACTCTAGTAAGCACCACATGAGGATCTGTCCCTTCCACGACTGGGTAAGCATAATTAGGGGCCTGGGAAAACAGGACTCTTTCCATCATAGAGCACATTCTTTCCATTAACGGAAGATCAACCCTGTTGAGTGTTCTAGGAGGTGGCTCAGGAGGTGGCTCCCCAGGTGTTTCCCATCTCCTTTTGCTTCACCTCCCCCTGCAGTGACCTTTAGGGCTAATGGCTATCGCCAAGGTCCCTAGGTCCAGCTGGGCAAGGAACCAGCACGCAGGGGGAGAACAGCAAAAATTCCCTGAGGCAGGGGAGTACATCAAAGTTCCCTGAAGACATGGATAAGACAGAAGCCTATCAAAGGATTACGACCACCAGGAGCTAAAACCTTATCTCATCTTTCTAGAACTACAAACTTTATCCCTTCATTGTCTTTCTAAAACTTCCTTCTTTCTTCTATAAAGGTCATTTGTTGTTAATTAAAAAATCATATGAAATCCTTAATACAAGGCTGACTCAAATGAAACGTTACTAAACCCTATAATAATTAAAATATAGTTTAAGTGAAAAAGTAGCTAGTAAAACAAAAAATGCGATCATATAGCTTAAAAAAAAACTAATGGATTATCTACTTAAGGAAGAGGCTAGGGGCCTCCCCGGTGGCACAGTGGTTGAGCGCTGGGTTGAGAAGCTGCCCGTGACCTCTGCAGTGCCGGTTCGATCCCCTGCTGCTCCCCGGCCACCAGAGGAGGGTCCCACATGGCGCGCAGACCTCTCCTGCCGCCCGCTGCTCCCCTCAGCAGTGTACTTCTGTCCTTCTGCCTGCTCTGCTCCCTGCTCTGGCTCTGGTGAATTCTCTCACCATCCCGCGCTTCTGACTGTACTCAGTGCATGCATAAACAAAAACAAAAAAAAACAAAAAAAAAACAAACAAATAAATAAAAAAAGAAAGAGGCTAGGTCCAGATGTAAACCACTCAGCAATAAGCTAAATCCATTCACTGCTCCTGTATATATACTGGCGACTAACTCGAATAAAATCGCACTCAGATTTACACTCTCTCTTGAAGTGGGAGGGGCTGTTGGTATTTTTTGAGTAGAGGAAGGGGGATTTACCGATGTAGAACTCACAATGGAACTTCTACCTTTTTCCTCCAATTGTTTAGTGGTCCTGATGGCCTCAGTGGCTAACTGAGCGGCAGCAGTGCCACCAGCATTAAGAGCATCTCCCAACACTCCCCAGACCGTCAAAGTAGTGCCAGGAAGAGACTCAAGACCATATAATTGCTGATGTAAGACAATATCTCATTTTACCTTATTCCATTTTGCACTATCGACCCGATCCTTCTCCAGAAACCACTTACTAGTGTAAGGGTCTCTACAAATCCTTTAAGGATTTTTCTACTGAGAGGAACCCCAAACTCTTTTAGGAGAGCTTCCAGGGAAATAACTAACTGCCCCTTGGATATTGAATTGCCCATGATCCCAGCTACTTTACCTTACTTGCCGGCTCACCACAGCTGGTCCTTCAGCGGTTCCTTCGTTCTTTTTTGTGCCCCACGTTGAGCGCCACCTGTCCCGACCCGCAGGATTCATAGGCACAAAAAGAGAAGGGCTGCGGATTGAAATGAGGGGTTTGAGACAACTTTACGCTAGCAGTTGCTTCTTTATTTTTCCTTTACCTTCTCTTACTTTTCCCTGTCTTTCTTCCTTCCCTGACCTTCTCTCTGCTCCTCTCGCAGTAATCTCCCAAACTTCTCGTGGTTCTCCTGGTATATCCTGGTAGCCCCTCCCTTCTTACCTCCCAGTCTCATTTGATTAACAGGAAAAACTTGTGGTTTCTCAGAAGGCAAAACGGTAAAGCGAAACTTAATTGATGGCACATGATGTGCAACACTGCACATGCTCTGGGTACCTACTGAAACAAGATCTGTCCATCCGGGGTCTTAGAAAATCTAAAGTTTGATCATTCTCCAATCATTCTGATAAACTGCTTCTATCAATTTCCTTGTAGGGTTCTAGAATATCTGCAAGTGCATTCATCAGTCTCCTACAGTGTCCATTTTCATATCTTTCCTTCACTTACAATTATTAACAGTTGCTTAGAGAACCTCGGCACAACTACTCAAAGTAAAGTCATGGTAGTCGACTATTTACCTTCCCACTTCAGTGTCTAAAAAATTTACATAAAAATGAGAAACTTGTAAAAGGGATTGAGACTAAATATGTCCTGTGTAGCTCTCACTAATCTTTTTGCATTTGAATTTCATCTTTGTTATGTTCTTATCGTAAACATTTATAAATATTGTTTTCGAGAAGTATTTCAAAATGAAAATATTCATTATGTTCAAATTTATTGTAACCCAAGCGATTGACTTTTGCTCTGAAATTCGTTTGTGTGCGCTTGGACCCTAAATTTAACTCAAGGCACCAGCAGTTTGAGAAAAAGTGGAACACATCAATGGTGCAGAAACCTTTTAATAAAAAGAAAGTTTTGCTATGTGAATATGGTCTGAAAAAGTCTTTTCGTCACATTGTTTTGGAAAAAGTAGCTCCATTTCCTTAGTTGTCTCTCCTAGTCTTCAAACTTAGTTTCCTTTTCCTATAGAAGTCCAGAGAGACTTTTATCAATCATTTATTTTAAAACAGTTAACATAAAATTAAAATATAAAACCACAGGTGGCTGTCAATATTTTCAAACGTAATGTGGTTATTGTGGAGGCAATGTACTGCATACATTCTTTCAAATGCTCTCTCTATATTCCCATTTCTGGTGGTCCAACAGAGAAACAGAAAAGTCTTGTGTTGACCCAAAAACAGTACATTTCAATACAATTTTTTTTTTTTTGCAATTAGTAGCAACTTTTCTAGAACCCACTTCATCAATAAAGGAGAATCTTGAAAATGTTTTAGCAGGATGCTTTCATACATTTTATTAACCACATATTATCTCTGTTGTACAGGAACCCTTTAGGTTGGTGTTAATAGCTAGTTGGAATCAGGAAATAAGTGCAAAGATAATTGGATTTGGGTACTTTCTCAACTACAGCTGTGTGCCCTTTAGTGTTGTGTTCCATTCACACACAACTCCTTGAACACTAGAGTGGAATTAACCATCTGCTGTGCAACTGTACATGTACGTCGTTCTAAAACACCATCAGGGAATTAGTGCTTGGCCAGCTGCATAAGAAGTTAGTTAAGTTAAAGCACAAAATGCCCACTTTTATTTTCCCTCTTTGAATTGGTATAGTTGATCTGGGATAGTGCTTGGGAATTAAAGGTCTCCAGGAGACAGGTGTAGAATGATTGCAGAAGAGATTTCAGAACAGGTCCAAATCAAGAATGTCATGGATTGATGGAATTTAAGTATGGCAGCTGCTGCCAAATATACATCATTTTTCCTCCCTATTTATAGGTTTAGCTGTATACGAAACCAAATGTTTACTGCAGTCATTGGAGTGATTTCTGTTGCCTTGGCAGTGGTGAGTGGCTTTGGCCTCATGTTGTACGTGCGGGTGCCATTTGTGCCTAAGTTGCAAATGCACCATTTCTAATACTAGATGAGTAAAGTAAATGTGAGGCTCCACTCTGAGTGTATTGGGGAGAAAGTAGATTACAGAAAGAGTTTATGATAGATTAAGTAAAATAACTGTGCTTAGATGACTACAGATCCAAAATAAGGTGTCAGAAATGAAGACAAACATTAAATTGTGTCTTCAGAACTGGAAAAAATAAGGACCCCAAATGCAAAAGTAAAGACAATGACATGAGCAGGCAGTTCTCTCTCTCTCTCTCTCTCTATGACACACACATACCCACACACACACGCAACCAAAAATGAAAAATACATGTCACTGGAAATGCAAGGGGGGCAAATATATGACATATCAATCAAGGGATGCAAATTAAAAGTGAGATGCCTAGTTTTCTTATTAATTAGCATTGCAAGACTGAAACTTTTGGGGTGGTTGTGTGTAATGAACACTGTCTACTACTGCTCAGAGAAGATTGTCAATTGGCACATACTTTTCTTAGTCCAATATTTGTATCAAATCAAAAGGCTTAAAAGAGGATTCAAGGCGCATGTCTTTCACCTCTCCATTCTACTTCTAGGAAATTGTGCTAATAATTGAAAAAATGCTCCAAAAAGTAGACTAAGTATGTTCATTTCTGTGTGATTCAGAATTGAAAACTCATTTAAAACCATCTCCCCGGTCCACAGGAGATTGGTGAATTCAAACATAGGAAACCTCTATATTCCCACCAAGTAACGGACTAGCAGGAAAACTAGTGTGCACATGCCTGTATATGACGCTGTACCTACTCAAGTCACACCGCAATGATAGACTGATGCTGTTGGTGGTCAGATATGTTCAGTAACAGAATGTTGGCTGAAAGTGTTTCTGCATTTCTGTGAAATGGCTTATGAGAGAAAATGTTCTCTCAAGTAATCTAGTGGAATCAGAAACAGATTGCTAATCCTGCTTGAACTAACACATCCACCAGGTTTCCTGATCTCAACACTGAGGCACCATAATTGGAGAGAAGGAGTATACTGTGCTATGTGGTAATAACAGAAATCCAAAAAAAGCACAAGCTCATTACAGAAGGAGGAGTGTGCTCTGTTGTGGAGTCAGAGACATCCAAGGGAAGTGTTACATCAGCACAGATTGTGCGAGATAAATAAAACCTGAAGGGACAAAGAATAAGACCTTAAGGGACAAAGGATCATTTCACTTAGATGCGGAATATAGGGAAACTAGACAAAGGGTCAGACAAACTTTCAAAGCAAATCTTGAAATCTGACCTAGAGCTGAGACAGGCAGGAAGCAGGGGGAGGAGGCGGAGGGTGGCAAGAGGGACAGGGAAGAGAGCACAAGGACTCTGGTGGAGGACCACAGGTGCATTGGTGCTGGGAGAGCGAAGGTGGCCACACCTGAGGGGAGAAATCCTAGACTGTCAAAAACTCAACAAGGATGTAAAACAATGTTGCTTCATTCAAAAGAGAAAAAAGGAGGAAACCTTTTGAATTATGTGATTTACACTTTAATGGATATGAATATGCATTAAGATTTTTCTTAACAGGTGTTGGCATTGATGACATGTTTATCATGATTTCTGCCTGGCAGAAGACCAACATCATGGACAGCGTACAACAGCAAATGTCTGACGTCTACTCACATGTGGCGGTGCCCATCACCATCACCACTCCCACAAATGTCCTGGCCTTCTTTACAGGGGTGATGACCTCCTTTAAGTCCGTGCAGTACTTTTGCATTTACACGGGAACAACCTTGCTCTTCTGTTACTTTTATAACATCACCTGTTTTGGCGCCTCTATGGCCCTAGATGGTAGGAGAGAAGCGGCCTGTCAGCGCAGGCTGCAAAGGTCAGAGGGAAACCCGGACCAAAATTCTTCCTCGCTGATAAGGTGCTGCGGCCAGCATTTATCTATTTTGATCAATATTCTGCAACCTTAGAAAACACTATTCAAAGTGTCATTTTTGCATACGTAGCTATGTTGTTTCTTTATTGTTAATCCCCCACCCATTGTGATCCTTGTGGGTCACTTTTTCTATTGGGTCTGTGATTGTAGGAATAACAGGTTTCATGGGATTCTGGCATGTCAACCTTGATTCTGTATCCATGATGAATCTTGTGATTTGTATAGGGTTTTCTTTTGATTTTTGTGCACATATTTCATATGCATTTGTTTCCAGTTCTAAATCCTCATCAAATCAAAAAACAACTGAGGCATTGTTTTTGCTAGATTACCCAGTGTTACAATGTGCACTGTCAACAATAATAGGAGTGGGTGTTTTATCTGTAGCTAACACATACATCTTCAGGACATGTTTTAAAATTATGTTTTTTGTCATGGTATTGGGGGCTATTCATTGCCCAGTTTTTATTTCAGTATTCGTAACCATTTTTTGAAGATTTGTTGGAATATCCACTAACAAATCAGTGCCCAATGATAGAATTCTTGACTGCCCCAACACAGTCTGGTAAAAACGCTATATTAAGGATAGTTGATAAACTGAAAACAAGGCATGTTTTCCTTGATTTGGAAATCTCATTCCAAGCTGTTCTTTAAAATATCCTGAGAAAAATTAATTAGTCCTACATTAAAATATTTTTACTCAATTAGGAAGTGTTGTCATCTTTATTGTAAACTATAAAAATTGGGTGTAAGGTAAAACGTTCCAATTTTTTTTTCTATTTTTTTCCTCTTATCATTAGCCTTTCTGCCTGGAATTAAGAATTTTCTACATTATATATACTCAGTGGGATGTTATGTGTATTGTACTTCCTATATGCATTACTATGTAAAGGTTCAAATTACTATTACTTAATCTCCATACTGGGACTTTTCTATGCACTTTCTTAATCGTATATTCAGATGAACTGAAGTTGCTATCAATATATTTTTTTTTTTTAATTTTGAAGAATTAACCACTTTAGGGTCCTTCCGGGTGGCACGGGCAGTTGAGCGCCACAGTGTTAAGATGTCCGCAGCCTCAGCAGCACTGGTTCGATCCTAGCCGGCCAGGGAGAATCCAAAAGGCAAAGCAGACCTTCCCCGTCTCGCCAGCTGCTCCCCTCAGCACTGTGTTTTGGTTGTCTGCCTGTTCTGCTCCCCACTCAGTTTCTGGTAAATCCTCTCATCTTTCTGTGCATCTGGTCTGTACCACTGTTCTTGTATAAATAAATATATCTGAAAAAAAAAAAGAATAAACCAATGAAACCATCAGGTGCTGGACTTTTGTTTTTTGGTAGGGGTTTGATTGCTGATTCAATCTCCTTGCTAGTAATTGATCTGTTTGGATTTTCTTTATCAGTTAGATTTTATACCTAAATGAGACTTAAAGGATAATGGATATATATTTTATTTATAGATAAACAGATACAGATAATAAAAATAAGTATTACCTAATGCTGTAAAAAAAGGAAGTGATATTCCTGGTAATTGTAGGTTTAAAACTATTTTACTCTTTATTCTTTTACCAATAGAGAATAATAATTTGATCTCTCTTATTATATAGAATTGAAAAGGATAAATTCTTTCTTTGAAAAGGAAAAGGTTTTGAGACTTCTCAAGTTCAAGATATTCTCTAAGGGCATCTGACTGCTAAGGGTCTCATTTCTCCAAACTCTACATGGATGATGCCCTAAACACACTCTTCCTGTCCAGACCATCTCTAGAGGCAGGTCAGGGATTGGCAATGATGTCACCCACCAGGAGGAGCCACTAAAACCACGTCCTTTGTTAGCCATTTCAAACCCAGTAGGGAGAACAGATTCAAAGAATGCCCTCCATTAGAAGAAGGAGGTGGGTTACAGATGGGTGGTTGGCAACACTTCTGCCCTTTTTTCTTGGTGAGAATTTTTTTTTTTTTAATTTAGACATCATTGTTCATTTTTAAACAATATTTGTTCCCTGCTTTCAGGCGTAGTCCCCATAGAATTTCCTTCACCAATTATGCTCAGTGAAATAAGCCAGAAGGAAAAAGTAAAATAATGGATGGTTTCACTTATAGCAGGGATATAGGGGAACCAAATAAGACATCAGTGTAAAAAAATAACAACAGTACAAAACTGAAAAAAGAAACATACAACTATTAATCAGAGACATCCTGCAGGGAAGGAGGAAGGACAGGGAGCAGAGGGAAGGAGGGAGGAGCACAGGGGACTGGGGTGAGGGTGCACTTGTCTTTTTTAACAGCCGTACTAATAGGCCTTTGTCCTGGTTTTACATTCCCAATGTTAAAAGTGCACAACTCATTTACTTCACAATTTGTTTTAAAGCACTTGCATTGTGGCAAACACTCTTCCAGGCTTTTAGCATAAAACAATGAAGAAAGTGAACAGCAGTCTCTGCCCCTGGGCTGAGGAATAAACACTCAAGGCAGATACTCAAATGCACATGTTAGGAAGTGATATCTGTCAAGGAGAAACCTGCCAATCACCGTGGAAGGTCAATCACCCAGCAAGGTCATGTGAGCCCTCAGCAACACACAGGGAGCTGCATGCTTGTGCGCACGCTGATGGGAAGGCGGCTGCAATGTGTAAGGATCTGAGAAACGTGTGTTGTATGTATGTGTATTAACATGCAGTGACTTGAAATTTGAAAAAGTGGGTAAAAAGAAGTATACTACTATGACATTATCAATCATGATTATTCTCTTTTCTAAAAAACTCAGCATTGACATCAATTTTGGTGTATTTAAAAGAAACTGATTTTGAATTAAAATTCAAATGGCACTTAACTATCTTAACAGTTTTTTAGATTTGAAGTTTCACCGTAAGGTTTTTAGCTTTTCCTAAGTAGAAAAGTCATAAAGTGAACTGACATTCCAGAGGGATTTCATAAGTGCCCACATCTCATTTCACTGTAACAAAGGCCATCATTCACTGGGAACTCCAGCCACGCCCTCCAGATCTTCAGCACAAGCTGGCTGTGCTGAAGCAAAATCCCAAATGCAGGAACCATTCAATATCTCTATGGAGAGCGACCTTTTTGAAAGGCAGAGGAGGAAAAGGAATTCCATAATGTGACACAACTAAATGCAACCAAAGGGAAATTGTTCCTCAAACTCAAAGTCTGTTCCCTAAGCATTTATGGAGAATCAGTTTAACAGACACTAAAAACACATGGAGGCGGGCTTACTTCAGGGAAACACACAACTATATCAGCAACAGCAAAATACAGTCAAGGAGTGTGTGCCTACGCTTGGCGTGAAAGCAGTTGATGGACAATGTTTTGTACAGCTTTGTCCAACACCCAGGGATTTTCTTAAAGAAATCCGAATGATGCCACTTTTTTCCTCCTCTGTTGCTGTGTCGTTCCAATAAAATGATTCTCATCCTCTCAAAGGTTTAGGTTGAGTTAACCCATGTTGACTATCAAATCATCCAAATAATAACTATCACCACTGAGATGATGAGTAAAATCATCAAGATAAGGATTTTAAAAGACCATGAATGGAAAGAAATTTAATATATTTCTATTTTTTTATCTCTCCAAGACGACAACAACAACAATAAAAACAACTATAATCCAGGTGTTAAACTAATGCACAATTCATCCATAAAGTCATAAAGCCAATGAAATCTTGAGCCAAGAATCAATTGTAGGCCACGAGAAAATGTAAAGATTGATTTTTTTGTCGTTTATTGAAGAAAAAGATATTTGCATGAATGCAAGACGTTCTTAGTAAGTATGCACATTTTTCAAAGAGATGTTACCAGTAGTGGTGGCAGCCATTCTCTCTCTTTCTCTCTCATAGGATGGAGAGAGGTGGAGAGGGAGAGAGATTGCAAACCAGATTCCCGAATTTACTAATACGTCAAGGTTTAATTTTCTGTTTTTTTCTCTTTTTACTGAATTATTTCTTCTTAAGACATATTTTATTCTCTGCAATGGGCAACTGATGAAATCATACAAATACATGAACAAACCTGGGCTCTTTCCCTCATTTTCTATCTTCTCCCCATTTTCTATCTTCTCTAATGCAGTCTTTTAAAATGTTATTCAAATAACAGGCTACCAGATAATGTTCCCTGTAAAAGTGCACCTGCATCATTCATCTTCTCTGATGGAAATTCTGTGTGAGCAAGCGCCTAAGCTAGGAGCCCGAGAGTCAAAGAGGAGGCAAAATATTACGAATTTTTCTGATTGCTGAATAAGAAATACCATCCATTCCCTACATTATTTGTGCTGTTACAGTAAAGGTCATATCACTTCTGGAACATAAAATAACTTTAAAAGCAGGGCCTCCTCTGGTGGCACAGCGGTTAAGTGCTGGGCTGCAAAGCTGCCTGCATACTCTGCAGCACCAGTTCGATCCCCGGTATGAAACTGGCCAAAAAGAAAGGGGATAAAAAGATCATTGGAGGGAAAGCAATTTGGATAATAGGTTTCTCTAACCCTTTCTGAAACACTTCGCTATTTTAGTTCACTATGCCCAGCCACAAAAACAAAGAATTTGACATATTTAACATCAGATAGGGTTTGAGAGATTTCTATTCTACCCTCATTTGTCAAAGTGAAAAATGAAGGCCTTCAGTGTTCACATAAGGTCACATAAATGGAAGCATTAATTTCAAAATCCTGATCTCACACGTAGTTGATTCTCCAAGTCTGAAATTAACTGGAATAATAACACTCAAATTTGAATTAAAGACTCTTGTGCAATGATTTTTCAACAACACAAGTGATGTCTTATTGCCACACTGGGTTTCTGCAAAAACAGAAACCAACTTCTGGCTAGAACCCTTTCAGATTATATCCATGACCTATGTTTTTATGCTAATTCACTTTAAAATCATCTATTTCCATTTTAGTGGAATTATTTGTTTTCATCTTACACAGAAATATATGTATCAAGGTTTATTTTCCATAGCATAACATAAAAAATGTTTATCTTGCTAGAAAAATAAGACACTTTTTCACAAATGCCATCCTTCTTGAAAGAGGTATTAAAGGTGTTCAACTACTGCAGTGAGCATCTGACAACTCACTACTAAGTATGGAAGAAAAGTTTGGAACAGATTAGATCCACATACCTTTGCGGGAGAGGAATGAAGAACAAGAAATCACTTAAAAGACTGTGGTGTAGTGGAAGAACCTCAATTAAATCAACACTGTACTTCGAGCTCATCTTCAAAAGTCCTCTCGCAGAGCCTTCCTAGGCAGTGATCCACCTAACACATTGAGAAAAAGTGCCCTGCCATTTATTGGGTTTAATCACATGAAATGATTTTCATCTTGACTTCAGATTTAGCAATATGATATGCCTTAACCGAAATGAGAGTCACATCTCAAGAAACAAAGAAAGGTCACAAGGCTATGGAGTTCTTATTGAGATAATGCCAGTATATACCTTTTAAACCATCAAAACAAAAGGTGATCATTCTATCTAGCCCTTTATCTCTCCCTCCCACCCTCCTCTGCACCGCCCTACACCCTATACCTTTCCCTAACCCAGTGTTCCAGGACTGCAATCCTTGTTGAACACAAATCCTTCACTCCGGTGCAGAGGACATTAAAGGAGAAAAAATATGAAAATATATTACCATGCTTAAAAAATATATAAACCTTCAGAACATATTAGAGAATAAGATTTCAAATCCTTAAGTCTCTAAAAAGCCTTAACTAGGAAGTGATTAAGAAAGTGATTTGAAATATAAGCGTATCAGGAGCAAAAACAGAAAATACGGTGAGGATAAATTCACCCGGGGAACTGCTCCACAGACCTGGACGAAATCAGGACGCTCTTCCTACACCGCGAGCTCCATGTCTGCGCCACACACTCAAGTCTAACTATTGTCATTATCACTCCCCTCGCGCCTAGAAAGAAAACACAACACTCTGTTATCTTCTGTGCTGCGGCAGAATGGAACCATCGTTTGTCAAGGTGGCTCACAGCTTCAGCAAAACTATCTCAGAGCACAGGGAGTGACTCAAGCAGCTGGAAGACCAAAGAGATCTTTCAGGGCTGACTCATGAAACACGACAGCAGCAGCCGGGGCGGGCGTTGCAGCGCGGCCAGGACGGCGACCTGCGGCGTCACGAGACTTCCCTGCGCGTCACGTCGTTAGAGAAAGTCCAACCTGAATCCCGAAGTGATAAAGTCCCGACTCCAGCTCGCCGGGGCACGAGGGGCCTGAGCCTGGGGCCGCGGCCTCGCCCAGGCGAGCCTCGGGACCAGCGCGGCCCCAGCGCCCAGGCCTCGCGTGGCCGG